GAGCTTTCTCAGCTTGACAAAGCGTTTTCATGGCAGTGGAATATGCCTGCAAAACAGTGAACAGCTATGAATCCATGAATCATCAAGTAATTAATGTTCCTTAGCAATTCCCATGAGCAAATATCTTTGCTTTATCTCTCTCTCTCTCTCTCTCTCTCTCTCTCTCTCTCTCTCTTTCTCTCCCTCTCTCTCTTACCAATTCTGAGTAGGCAAATTTTTGCTTCATTAAACCATAACTTGTGGTCATGGCTCTCCACTCAATCGAGGATACAGCGTTTAGGTGTCCTTCCTTGTACAAGTAGTCCGAGACTGTACCATTTCGCGGTTTCACAGTAAGCAACACAGATGCTGTGACTCTTACAGGTGGCAGCTCTGACGCCTCCCTAGTAGTCCAGCCCACCGAAACTCAGAGGATGGGAATCGTTACGAGTTCGCTTTACACCGTATTAGCCTTTTTTTTACTACTAGCTGGTATTAGGATTGGGTGACGCGAAGAAACGAGTAAGAAGCCAGAGGCGGCAGTATATCGCTTTGCGGCATAAAACAAGCGAATCGAAGAACTCGTACAGTGGAGCTGCCAGAGGTCCTTACTTAGGGTATTCTTTACGACTTTGCTGATTTTTTTTACTCCCCTGGAAAGTCACGACGTATCGACTATTAAGTCATAACTCGTAATTGTACTTCACACTACACACCTGCGATCGTGGAGTTTGTCGTGCTTTTAACCAGTTATCTATGTTAACTTCAGCTTCGTCGTTCCGGCTCACTGCCTCAACATTTACCTCGTCCTTCATCCAGTCAAATGTCTAACTCTGCTCATCATCTAAATTCCCCTGTAAGGGTCCCTATGTTGTATCGATTTCGGATTGGTGCGCATGAGACGCTATATTTTCGCGCAAAAGTTGAGCGGTAGTCTAAATTTCAATTCAGTCACATGTGTTCGAATACTCTGGTTGAAAGTCACAGCGCATCAATTTTAGCCGTAGTGGCAATTTACATCTCCACTATCGGTTCGCAATCCATCAAACGGCTGCACAGGTAATTTTCGACAAATCCTGCAGACTCATTCTTTTCCGTAGAACTCATCACTCACCAAAACCATGAATCGTTCGAAAAAAAGTATTAGGTTGGCGGGAAACGAACACGAAATACTTGCCTATTACATGAAGAGGGGTAACCGGTAATGTGAGCACTTATACATCAAGGAGTGGTCTTTCTATTAGTACCACTCACTTGACTCCTGCTTCTTCTTCTGCAATATGGACAAGGATTTTATCCGCTACCATCGGCACCGACCCCTCCAGACGCTTCCTCAAACTCTTTCTTCCACCACCCTGACGCCAGCATGATAGCTGCAGATGCCAAAATAATGGAGCTGAATAAGGACGATGCCCTCAATTATCGGACAACCTTCCACGACGCTAATGCTTCAAAGCGGGAGCCTACAGTTTTGATGACGAAGTGAGGTTTGGGTTACCTGTGAACTCAGATTGAGGGAGCTGCGGGTCGTGAAAGTGCTGGATGAAGAAGCTGCTTCCTCGGTCAATGTGTACGCAAAGCAGCTACGATATCTAAAGCGTACCGTCGGAAAAATTTCTCCGCACAACCCGTCGCCCATCATGATAGTGCAGCGCACTCCGTCCAAAAAAGTTCGAGCCGTACCTCATGCAATAGAGCTGGATGGCTCTCCCCTTGCACTGGTGTAGCACAGACATTGCTCCTTCTAACTGCGAGTTGCCTCCCGTACTCAATCGTTATGTGGACGAGAAAACCTCCATAACCTGAGTTCAAGTCAAGATTTAGATGGTCTCCAACTTTGCGTCGCACCTCCCTGCATCGATGGCATCCATGAGGTGCTCAAAAGCTGGTAAGAACTGCGCAATAACATTGCTGTATAATTTTGATCTTGTACGCCTCTCTATAAAAAGAAAGCCTAATTTGAAAAAATGTGACAGAACTTTCCCGCCAACCTAATACATTAAATAATCCATCGCAAAAGTCTGCTCGGATTGTGCACTCATAACCCACCATAAACAAAACGGACTACGGGATTCATGAATACTCATAAAATACTCAAGAGAGTAAGAATTACGAGGGTACAAAAGTTCCACTGAGGCAAAACACTCACTTTCACATCTTTGTATAACCTTTCGCAGGATTTGCTTTGCTTGGCGAGGTTCGCAGCATGGGCATGGCTGTCATAATGTTTCGTTGTGTGGGCTTTGCGCTTCCGGCGATGGCCCGTCGACGGGCAGCTGGAAAAAACATCTGTAGCACAAATTATGTAACCAGCTGATTGCTGTTCTTGTCTTCTTTTCTTCTCTTACTTGACTTTCTTTTCTTCTCTTCTTTTTTTTTTTTTTTTTCTTCCTACAAATAATAGTTCTCGCATAAATTAATCAACTAAAACATTAGCACAACGAAGTTATAAAAGTAATAGATAGTTTTATTGGACACTATTAAACTACTACTACTACCCTAATTTTCCGGAAGAGGCTAGTTGTGTTGACCGACTTTTTTCTAAGAGGGCAGATTTGGCTGAAAACTTGGTTCTAGGGACTGTTCGACCCCCCGCCCCGAACACGAATATCACATCCGCTTGGCCTGAGGCTGTCTGGCGCCTGCGCCAAAGACCCTAAACCTCTAATTTCGCTGAAAATCTGTTCCCAGGGGAAGTTTGACCTCTTGAATACAAACATCACATTCACCGTATTCATACTTTGCGAATCAGGAGAATAAGAGAACTGGCGATTCAATGTTTACGGATAATGCGTGTCAAAGAGTGCCGATATGATTTCTTGGAAGTATATACAATCGGTTCCGAACATCGAGAAGCTGGTAATCGAACGACTCCGAGCGCCAGCGAATTCAAAAAATAGGAGATAAGGAGAGAAAGTGGGCAGCCGGGAGATCGAGCGCTATCGCCGATTTTCCTATTGTCCTGAGCCGCAAACTCTGTATGCGACCTTCCTCCCCCTCAACAACAGCAGGAATGACTGATGACACGCCCACTGAGATAACTGCAAGACCGCGAAGGAGGGGGGGGGGGCACCGCCGCAAGGAGACAATTCAAATTGGCTTTATGCGAACGCAGCCCAATTTGAACTCCGCCAGTTGCGACGGCGCACCTTCGCAATCGCGCTACAATCGAACGACCCAATCGTGCGACTCGCGCGATCGCGAAGTCTGAACGCGTTCTACTACGCTTAAACTAGAAAAGGAGATGTCCGATTCCATGGCCGAGTTAAATGATGGTGTTGAATCATTAGTGCTGCATGCAGTCAACTGCTGTTTTACAACTGGATTCTATTCTGGGATCTGCAACGAAGTCTCCGCATTAATGTTCATCGATCGCGTATCGATCTGCTTCATGGGTGTTATGATGTGATCGATGCAACCATATTTTTCCCGAAACCTCCTTTAAGACGCTTTTCTCGCCAATCGCATAGGCGAAATCTCTTGGCCATTTCGCTTTCTCAACGACACGACCATCCTTTTCACCATCTTAGAAGGAGTGTGACTCTATGGGAAAAGCGCACATGTGCAGTGTTTGCCTATACAATCAACGCCCATGTCTTCGAGACACTATCGCTCTTCTGATAATGAGTTTCTCGGGATCTGTCTAAGCTGGGAGGAGGGAAAAACTCACCCATGCGCGTATGCGGCGCGGTTTCTTCACGGCGCCGCGGCGGCAGGGCGGGCGAAGGGTGATCGCTTGCGCCTCCGCCACTGTGCTTCAATCAGAAGCCCCTTTTATGCCCCATTATGTGGAAGGAGGAGGAGAGAAAAGAGGATTGAACAAATAGTGAACGCTCATAGGTGAGTTAGTGGTAATGGTGAGCAGAGAATACAGAAAAGTCGAGAATCAGAGCGTATTATTTCAGTCAACAGCGGAACTGGCAGAATGATTCCCTTCGAATGGGACGTGACGTTATAGCGTTATGAGGTCACAACCAACTGTTGGCAATTTGCCAAACCTCAGCTTGAACTTTCGTGTAAAAGCTGCTTGCGTCGTTTTCACAATCGAAGGGAACTATGCCGCCAGTTCTGCCATTCACTGAAGTAATTCGTGATAGTCGACTTTTCTGTGATCTCCTACCACTACCACTAACTCACATATGCACCCACTATCTGTTCAATTCCCTTCCTCTCTCTCCTTCTTCCTTCCACATAAAAGAGGCTGCTGGATTGGAGCACAGCGGCCATCGCCTTTCGCTCCGCCCTGCCGCCGCGGCGCCGTGAAGAAACCGCGCCGCATACGCGCACGGGTGAGTTTGTACACGGAGCCTCTTGTCCGCACCTGGTCACGACACCATATACACACAAAATCCCTGAGATGCAGTAGGTGCGTATTTTAACTGAACGTGGCGGCGACCAAGGATTTTCGTGAGACATTTTCGTTTTAGAATAGTTATAATCGT